TTTGATAGTCAGCTACCCAACCGTCTGCTTTTTTATGACAACTGATTAAGATTTTTAATCTCGGCTCACATATTATCCACACGTTGTAATGGACTGGGAGACGAGAACTGAGATTGAACAGGTACTAGAAAGAGCAGCTTACTTTTAAGTACGTCTAATTCGAACGAACATACATACGTTTGTATTGTGTTATTTGAGAAATGTTATTTATTTTTCGATGATAAATTTTTAAGTAAACTGCGCACAAATGGTGAAGATAAATCTGAGCTTTCTTTGGAATCACGATCTTTTGTTAGTTATAATTACATTGCTTGTAACAAACGTATGTTTCTGATGATTTAGTCTCTATATGATGTCTATTATTTATGACGCCTATGGATGCGTTCCACTTAATGCTCGCAACGCTTATGGAATTGTTTTATCCTTGTTGTTTATCAATGTTAAACAAGGTCAAATAATGCTCGCGAGTATTGTAAGCGCCAAATGAAACGCATCTTATGTAGTGTATGTGAAAGATATATTGTTTAAAATATAATTACGTTATATGTATGTGTATATATATATATATATATATATATATGTATATGTATATGTATGTGTGTAACGTGATTATATTATAACAATTTGACGAATAAATTTTTCCCGAGGAAAGAAATATTTTTATGATAGCTATTCATATATTTTCCATTGTTTCAATGTACATTTTTAAGCACGTATTCTCTGAAACTGTATAAATTCGTTCTTTTGTATATTTTCGATATGGTACACTAATTGTCGATTTTTTTCGTATATAACTTTGATATTTCATTTAGACGTATAATAAAACAAAATAGACAAAATGAAATTTTTTTCTGCTAGCTTTGCCAACAATATTATGTTATTACTGCTATTGTTACGATTAATATTGTTACCCAGATACTACTACTACCATTACCATGATTAATATTATTACTATTACTCCCCTACTATATATTATTACTACTATGCTACTTCTAGTAATAGTATCACTTACTATTGCTATTCCTTCCATTACCGCTATCACTATACTACCATTTCTACTATCATTGTCAATATTATTATTGTTATCGCTCCTACTACTAAAACTACTACTACTATTACTACTACTATTACTATTACTACTATTACTAAACTATTACTACTATTACTACTACCTATTACTACTAATACCTTATACTGCTCCTACCACAATAATTATTATTTTTGTGTCACAACAAAATATTCGCGTATTTTTTGTTTAGAGTTATAATACGTGTAAGTTTTTTTGAA